AGATAGATAGATAGATAGATAGACAGACAGACGGACGGACGGATGGATGGACAGACAGACAGATAGATAGATAGATAATAAGTTGTTTTTGTGCTCTACTGTAACAAGTGTGTGTCTGTTTATTGGCTCAGAGCCGTTGTGGTTTTATTTGATCTGAGGGCTTCAGAAGTGATTTTCTTTGTTCTTCATGAGGGAATGTGGGTCAGGCCTGATGTATGTTTGAGGAGCATCTGCCACAGAACAAGGCTCTTCATAAAACATGGCTTGATCACAACTCCTCTCTTGTTTTGGGTTTTTTCCCCTTGAGCTGTGTGCCAAGAACTGACTGGAAACTCTTACAGACCCATCCAAGGTCATGAGACCTAATGAGACGTGAAGACTCATCCGTCATCGCACTAAACCCTGATGCGGGCGATGCATTTCAAGTGATTAGGCCGTGAGCGCTGCGGCTGATGTTGATGGAGGGTCGTGTTTGTCTTGAGCTGCCGTGAGGGTCTCTTCTCTCCTGGATTGCTTACATTGGCACTCGGGGATACTTGGAGAAGTCCTCTATTATCTGAGCAGCGGTGCAGGTGACAGCTTGTCACTGAGCGCTCGGATCATGAGACGGAGAGAGAGAGTCACGGGACGGTGTTTTAAACTCGGTCGTATTTAGAGTAGTAGTCATTATGCTGAGTCTAATAATCGGGATAAATGAGCTTCACTTTCAAATGCACAATCTTGTTTTCTTCCCACAGTGCACGCTGGTGTACGAGTCGTCACATGGAAGTATTAATGACAAAGACAACGGACCAATAATGAATGCTGGTGAGTTAAAGAATACTTTATATTTTGTGTTTTTTACTCATATGCAGCAAAGTTTGGAGAAAGAGTTTGTGAAATCCGCCATCTTTGCTTATGACGACTCATTTCCTCTGACAGGTTGTTTTGAATCAGTCACCTGACGCATAAATGTTATGTGACACAACACAACACAGAAAATTAACAATGCTGATTGGCTGATGGCATCACAAAAATGTACATGATCCAAAAAAAAAAACGTCCATGTCGCACTTTTAAGAAGGAATTAGGCACTAGCAATACACTTATTCTACTGTTTAAAAGTTCAAAAAGACTTTTGTATTATTTTAAAAGAAATAAAAACTTTTATTCAGCAAGGATGCATTAAACTGATCAAAAACGACAGTAAAGACTTATATAATGTCACAAAAGATTTCTATTTCATTTATGAATATTAAAAAAATCTCCAAAAATATTAAGCAGCACAACTGTTTTCAATATTGATAATAAATGTTTATGAGCAACAAATCAGCATATTAGAATGATTTCTGAAGGATCATGTGACACTGAAGACCGGAGTAATGATGCTGAAAATTCAGATTTTCATCACAAGAATAAATTACTTTTTAAAATATATTACAATAGATCACAGTGCTTTTAAATTGTAATAATATTTAAAAATGATTACTGTGATTTTGATCAAATAAATGCAGCCTTGGTGAGCAAAAAATACTTTATTCAAAAACATAAAAAAATCTTATGATCCAAACTTTTGAATGATAGTGTATAATATAATTTCTAGTTTATGTTATTAAAATATATTTCATCCAAATGCATGTTTTACATTGCTGTCAGTGGTGAATATGCTTTTTGCAACCATCTTCCATCAGCGGTTAACTGGGTCACGCTAACCAGCCAACACTAGTTCTCATGCTCTGCAGCAGCCATGCAGAATTCACTGATACATGTGATGTAATTTCCTATATATTTGATTTTGATCAAACTCCTTCAAAGAGTTATATTTCATGTATGGATCAACTTTGTCTCAGAGGTTTCTTTTCAATTCTTTAGAAGAAATGCAAATGACACAGTTGTTGAACTAAAATTAAACTATAGAGCTATAAATGAAAGCTCAGATCATTCAGGCTCCAGAGAATCTTATGAGAAATTTATGAGTTCATATTGAGTTCTTTGACTTTTGTTCACAGGCTTTTGTGCCTTGGCGAAATTGAGCAGTTTGTGATCTCTGCTGAAACTCTAGAGATGATGCATCATGCCTTTTCTCTGGAAAACAGGAGGCCTGAGCAAACATGCTCGCTGTTTAAGCTCATTACTGTCTAGGAAGCGATTTATAATGCAATCTGGTTACAGTTGGATATAACACCCAAGAAGTGACGTCATTTGAACTGCATTCGCCTTATTAAATTGATAAAAAATTAGACTTTATAGTGTCACAACTAGTGTTGTCACGGTACCAAAATTTCAGTATTCGGTACCAATACCAGTGAAAATCCACGGTTCTCGGTACCAATTTCGGTACCAAAGCAAAACACAAAAACATGCTAATTGAACAACATTTTTATTAATAACGTTAAACAAAAATTAAATGTACAAAACCAATGCCATTCTTTATACTTATTTAAAATTGTTTCAAGTTTTTCCACAAGTAATAAAAGTATGAAAAAAGTAAACAAGTTTCACCCAAAAGTTTAGTCATAGTTCTGCTGCCACTGAAAAACATCTGTAAACTGTTGTCTGTTTTAGGGTTTGCTGGTGTGTTTCAGGATCTTCCTCAGTCTGCAGCTGTAAAAGAACAATATAATATACTTCAGTAAAGCAATGGGCTGAGTCTGACCAAATGCAACATAAGATCATTGACACCAGCTAAAATATAACTTTTCAGTAAATAACAAACCTCAGCTTTTATAATAAATTTAGATAAGATTACATATATTAAGTGTATATCAAATAGATGGAAACTGTAGTATTAAAAACACTTTACAATAAGATTTTATTTGTTAGATAACATGACCTAACAATAAACAATAGTTATATGGCAATTATTCTACTTAGGGTTAATTTCAAAGTTCAGTCTGTTAAAATGATTTAATGCACAATGAACAAACATGAATGATCAAGTGT